ACAGCAGAGGGGGCTGTTGAGACAGGCCCACAGAGACAGTTCAGTTTTCTCCAGTCACCAGCTCATGTGGCATCTCCATCACCAAAAATCAGTGGAATTCCATTCTGTACAATCCTCTACTAATCTAATCAGCTTCTGTGAAGATTAAAATTTAAAGTAATTCAAGATCCCGTCATGTTCATTAAGGAGGGACTTGATACTAGGCCATATTCACAGGATGGATGAAGACTAGCTAGCAACAGCTGGATTTGAACCTTGTGCGGCTAGAAGGTTTTGGAATGGTTTTCTTGACATCCAGTAGACCAGGGCTTCCCCTGCCCCAACCCAAGAACCATAACGCAATAGTACTACAGACAGGAGAGGTAAGCTATATAGTTCAGTTTCCAGAAAAGTAATTCCTCTTTGTGCTGCTCAGAGAGCAACGCTACAAAGCCACAAACACTTACACTAAAACAGTTGTTGGAAGCCAAGAATAGGGCATCAACAAAACCCCACATTGGTGAAGATGAGCAGAAGTCTGCTCCTCAAGATAAAATACAGCTGCAGAACAGAGCAGCATTTTTAAGCCTCATTCCTGGCTGACCTCAGGCTCTCTTCCCTACTAAGTCGCTAGGAAACAGTCCTAGGTTGAGCCCACATACACAGTGAAAGTTTTGCCTCAGAACTGGACTTTGGTAAAAACCACACAGAGTTGGCATGCCATGGATTAGGGAGAATTGGTCCACCGACCTTCAGGAAGTATGGAAGCTCCTCTGTTCAATGAGAGGAAGGGACTGGGGTTAGCATCATTTTGCAGAAAGTAGCAGACAGCAAGAATCTTATTGTTTTAATCTTCATACATACACTGAGTGTTGTTTAGGGGTGGCAAAGGTCCCAGTGCAGAAGGTACTTCCCAGCCATACAAGTAGACAATGCCCAGCTCCAAAGAGTTGGTTAAAAAAACCACACACACACACACACACGAGAAAAAGTGATTCCTCCCCACCTTGTGCAAGTTACAATTGGCATACCAGCCTAACATTCCTATCCCCCCAAAATCCATGAAAAGTACAACTGTGGTCCATCTCTTTCTCCTCCTATCTACCAAGTATTGCTGATAAAGAAGCCGAACCAAATACTCTTGGCCGAGCCACATTTAAAGCCACGACCCGGCCCCTTCCTTTCGAGATGAAAGGGGCAGTCCCGCCGCCACTGCTGGGGGGAAGACACCAGCCAGG